TGAGAACTGGAAGTATTTTATGTCAACAGATGGTAACCAAATGTGTAAAAAGTTAAAAGAAAAATGGAAAAAATTGCGTGGCGTCTGTTTTAAGTGTTAGTGGGGCTATTGTTATTTATTATTATTTGATTTTAAACAGTATGAGTCTCTCTCTCCGTGTTCTATCTTGTGTTTTAAAACCAAAAAGTAAGTTATAGCAATGATGAAGTAATTAATTGCTACATCTCATTTATATTGATTTAAATGTAATTAATATCGTCTTTTTAGTATAAAATGTCAAATAGAGTTTCGAACGATCGGCTCGAAGAACTATTGGAGTTTCTTGGCCAACATCCCGCTTTAGCCAAAGGAATTGGGCTTGGAGCAAGATCCAAAGAAACAGTTGATAAACTGTGGAATAATCTTGCTACAAAGCTGAATGCTCATGGATCTGGGTCAACGAAATACTAGGCCTTGCCATATGTTTTGGCTCTAAGAACAAATTTACAAGTTTGAATGTGCTTAATACTCATGGAAGAAGTTTCAAGGAGATTGATATTAAAGTCTCCACATATAACATTTATTCTGTTTATTAAGCTTGAGTGAAACTTCCTCCATATTTTTTTTCAAAAGAATATGGGGCTTTGTAAACACTAACAACAATGAGGTGCTCAAAATGAACACATGCTATTTCTACTGTTCCTTCAACAGAGGCTCACAATATCCTTACATTCTTTACATATTAACAATTTGTTAGCTAATAATAAGGAGCCACTTAAATGTTTTTCTCTGTTATAGCAACTGAGATCACCTGGTGCTTACTGAAATTAAACATAAATTAATCCAAATTCAATGTAAAATCATCCTCTGAGTGTTTATAAGTATAATATATAAACGCAAAATTATTAGGAATTAAACAAAATATATCCATAGATGTTAAAAAAGTAAAGCCATTTCATATTAAATAAAAATTCAAGTAAAATTATTAATATACAAGATTAAAAACAATGCCTACACATTTTAAAGGTAAAGAAATTGAATATTAGAACAAATAGTTAAAAAAATAAAAAGTATTATAAGCAATATTATAATGGGAAAGAAATCAAGTAGGCAGCAGTGTCTTCCTTATAATGAGCACAAATAAAAAAGGGTTGCTAAGCCGTTTGTTAAGCCTGGCAACTGCGGCAAACATACCCCTAAATATATGCCTATGAGGCAATTTATGGGGGAGGCCTATGTTCAGCAGAAGACTTTAACGGTAACGATAAAACAATATTGCTGTTGATACATAATTAAAAATTAAAAATTTTGTACAACCAATTTCAATATAAATTAGTAAGAATAACTCAAAAAGTATTGGTCAGACCTTGATCAAATTTATATGGGACCACATGTTAAGCATCAGCTTTCAAATAAAAAAAGAATCATCGAAATCGGTTCACCCAGAAAGAAGTTATGAGGTAACATACATTTAAAAAAAAACATACAGTCGAATTGAGTACCTCCTGTTTGAAGTCGGTAGAAAATAATATATATATAAAAAATTCTTTAAGCTTATATATCTTGTATATCCTCTAAACAGTGTGACTAATGTTTCCGCCATTTTGCGTATCTGTGATGCCGACCGTCGGCAAGCGCAAAGACAGGGATATTATAAGCATATGTTTTTATTAAAGTTGGATTTCCTCGATTTTTTTTAAAGGAATGCTGTACGCTTACAATTAAAATATTGGTTTTAATTACCTATTTTGTATATATCTTTACATATTTAGCATATTGGTAGTTATTTGCCATAGAAACATTACTACTTAATATGGGGTACAGAAAATTTTATTGTATTTCTTGATAATTTGTATAAAATAAAACAATAATTAAACTGAAACTAATTTTAATTAACACATTACATATCTAAGTTTACAATACAAACCAAAATTAACAAGGTCCTATACATTTTTTTCACACAACACATGTTTACAAAGTTGACACAAAAAATACTTCCACTTAAAGTAAACAAAAAAGGGTCTCACATTTCTTGTTATCTAAAATGACCCTGAGCGAATGGGACAAAGACCTTTTGTTTGCAGCAACTTAAGCTTATAAGCTACAAATATAAATAAAAGAATCATGTTACATTCAATATAAATTTGAGTATGAGTGGAACAAAGATGGTATGTAATTTGACACCAAAATTAGTACCTCTAAAAACATGTCTATTTTGGATAATATCTACTTACAAATGGAAAAGAAATTATTGTTTCAAGATATACATTAAATTTAGTAATCAATTAAACAAAAAAAAACAAGTTGTTTCTAAGAAATATTTCAAACATCAAGCTCATGAAAGTAGTAAATATCTAAACATTTTAGCCTCATACATGCTAGCAAAGTGTGGATACGACTTGTCTTCAACAAGATAATGACTAGGTGATTTTTGTAACCCTCATTATTTTGAAACATTATAGTAAACATAACGGGTCTAATAATGACAATCACTTGGGATACTACTTAATATGACATAATTTTTAAATCATGCTTTGTTCACGAATCACAGCAAGAGGTAAAATGAACCGGCGGCTTGTAGGTTGAAGGTGAAGGTTTAGGCAGCATGTTGATACCCAAGCATGGTTGGTCATAATTTACCATTGTTCGATATGTACAAATATGTACAATATACACATAATATATGTATATATATGTACATGGCTACCGATCATGGACATATATATACATATGTTACAAAATGCCAAGGAAACGTACTGAAAATTAGGTTGAGCAACCCCCCCCCCTTCATTGCGTCCCTAATTTTCGTACGATCCCTTATCAGTATAATGACGTTTGCAATTTGAATGAATGACACGGACCTAGGTTCCAACAATTTTATGATGAGCCAAAATTTCAAAAGACAAACATACATATTATAACTCGTTAGAAACAAATTTATCACAAAAACATAACCCTCTATCTGAGGCACTACATACATACATACGCACATACATACATACGCACATACATACATACATATACAAACTATAGTATATAAATGTGCAGCTTTTTGTTTTCCAAATTTCCCATTACGATTTGGATGGTAACACCTACCTACTTTAACCTTCCCATTAAAATAGCGGCATACCCTTTTTACTGAAAAGGAGGCATTCCATCTTAGTCCTCAGGGGTGACGATGTATCCACTTACCATCAGGTGGACTGTGTGCTCAAGTACAAGTGTTTTTCAGATAGACCTTCAATACTAGTGCCTAAATACCTTGTGTGTAAGACAGTGTTTTTGTGTAGTTTACTGTGAAGTGTGATATGACTCAAAGCAACCAAACACACACAGGGGCACGTTGCAGGCTTTGCAAAAGCTTGATGTTCGCTTTTTGCAAACTGAACAACTACGCCTCTGGTGCTCGTTCCGTGTTGTTCCCGGGAGCAGATCGTATTGCCCCGGAAAATGCCAGGTGTTCGGCAGTGCACGGGTAGGTGCTGGTGGTGTGTGTGCTGCCAACAATTCCCTCACCAAAGTTTGGCGAAAATTTCGGTGAGAAATTGAGCGGTGTGCCTTGTGGAGTATGTAGGCATTTAGAACACTAGCATTCAAGAGCTTCCTGAAAAACTTTTTGTACCAGATTTTGTTCCGCCTTCTTTCAATGGGGTACATGGCGAGCATCTGGTCTTTGCGATCAACCCCCCCCCCCCCCCCATACAGACATTATAGTCTGGTATGACGGTGGGCTTGTGTGTATCGCCGCACATCGCGGTTGCTAGCCCATGGTATGTCGAGACAAATGCCACACGGTTTTTGTCCCGGTATACGATGAGGTCCACATCCCCCGAAGTGCAACCGTTCACCTGACCTATCGCCATGTCTTTTTTCGTAAGATTCGTCAGCTCAATGGGAACAAACTGACGATTCGTTCGTAAGGTCCCCACGCAGTCAAACCCCCGAACTTTCAATTCTCGCGCAAGCGCGGGAGAATTGTAGAAATTATCCATCCAAATCGTGTGGCCCTTATGCTCAAGACCATTTAAAAGTCTGAGCACAAGAGCTGGCACTTTCCCAGAAACTGGACTGTCCTCTTGTGGGTCTGAGGAGGTATCATGGCCTGCGTGGACTTCAAAGCGTCACAAGTAACCAGTCTGGGACTCACACACCTCGTATGTTTTAATTCCTACTGTAGCTGCTTTGTTGCGGATGAATTGGTTAATATCTAACCAACCCTTCCACATGGTCAGACTTTCATCCACAGACACGTTTTGACCCAAAACATATAATTGTTGGAATTTGTTGTTAAGGTGATCCAAAATTGGCTGCACCTTAAACAACTTGGCCTGAGCCCGTGTCATCAGTTCAGGATCGCAACCGTCATTATCCTGAAAGTGGAGACATTTGCTCAACAGCATGAAGCGGTCATACGTCATCGCCGCAGTGAACCCGGGGGTACTGAAAATGTCCAGCGTGCTGTTCCAGTACTCCTCGAGACGTGATTTCACCACAATCCCGGTAGCGAGGATTATAGCGAAATACACGTGCAATTCACTTACGTCGGTATCTTTCCATTTGGTGATGCGGCTGCTCGGACAGAGCGAACCGTCCACCAGCATGACCGTTGCAAGCTGTTGTGCATATCGATTCGTCTCCATGGCAATGTGTTCCATTATATCGCGATCCCATATGGCAGTAAATGCGTCATATGGGCTCGCATATGGAACCGTGGGCCCACAGTTTATCTGGGAGAACGGTTCCCTCCTCAGCTCAGGAGGAGTTTGAGGTTGCGGGAACCCCCTCCATTTAAAATCAAATTTATTTCCTGGCTCCGACATGGGACAGGATGGGGACGAGGGAGTATGGGTAGGTAAGGAAGGCGGAACAGAATAATCAGGAACATGGGATGTGGAAGGAATGGGACCGGAAGAGTTAGGGACAGGTGGGTGATCATTGGATGTCGGAGGCCAGGAAAAAGAAATAAATGCGTCTACTTCCCCACCTTCACCCTCATCCTCCGATGCCGCGAACATTTGTACCACCCTGGGGACTATGGTGGATTGGAGTCCAATTTCTTCTTCGCCATCTTCTTCGGAGTCCTCGTCGCTGCCTGTAAAATATAAGATAAAATAACCACATTGGCCGACTGTAATAATTTACGTTTTTTTTAAAATAATCTGTTACATAAGTAGTAACTTAATACAGTCAATTATTCTAAAAATAATTGACTGTATTAAGTTACTACTTATGTAACAGAATCTGTAACATGAGAGCTGATGTTTATAGAACACAGTACGGGTTTTATTTGTATTTTTATTAGCAGCTAAAGCAAAACTATTTTCCCTTACCATAATTAAGGGCGTTGGATATTTCAATATCCCTTAGAGGACGCGACGAAGATGACGAGGAAGTAATTCTAAAAGAAGAAAATAAATTATTAAGAATCAAAATATTAAGTAGACACTTCTGCACATAGAATATATATTTATTAATAGGCACTCACAGACGCCGTTTAGCCCCCATGTCATTGTGGTCCGATCTGAAAAAATAATGTTGTTTTTTGATTTCTATCGTAATAGTTATATTCGAACAGTTAACAGTTCAAAGTCAAATACTATCAATATTTAATAAAGCAATAAAGGAAAAACTTACGCATTTCGCTTTCGGGACGTTGGAGTCCGATTAGGTGTGGAGGTTCCACTCCCTCCAACTTCAACGTGTCTGTAAAACATAAATAGTGTTAAAAATACGTTATTTTATGACCAGTTACGAAAAGTTTAGCTTCAAAATATGAATATAAGTAAAAACTTACAAAGCAGGTGAAGGAACTGAGCAAAGCTCCATATCAACTACTGCTGGTTGGGCCGCTGCAGCTCGGTCCTCCTGAGGGCTCAGCGGCTGGGTCGGGTGGTTGCCGGTGAGGAGGTCCATGGACGACCACAACGACACCGGCACGGGACTAAAAAGAAAGTTAAATTCAATGCCCTGCACGTGAATCGAGTAACAAAACCAACTTCGAAGTGCTTACCCTCGCCTTGCGGCAGGCAGTACTCGAGGTCGCCGCTGAGTCAGCGGCCGCTCTAGAGGCCTCCCCACCGGCAACTACCCCACCATGCCACAGTAAACTCTAAAATATTAATGCAGAATATTAATGTTGCTAAAAAAAAACGAAGAAACTTGTTAGTTGTTAAATTTGTTATTACGGATCAACAGCAGAAGGCCTTTCGGTGTGGCCAGCACCGCTAGTGGGCCCACCACGCGTCCGCGCACCACCAGTGTGCGCATGCGCCCCTTCACCACCAGTGTGCGCATGCGCCCCTTCACCACCAGTGTGCGCATGCGCCCCTTCACCACCAGTGTGCGCATGCGCCCCTTCACCACCAGCGTACGCACCACGCCCACGCCCACGGCCACGAGCACGACCACGTCCACCTCTTTAAAGAAAAAAGCAAAAACAAAAAGCATGCAAACCAAAGAGAAAATAAACACAAAAATGCAAGAGATACGCGAGACATGAATGCAAAAGGTGCCCTTAGAGCTAATTTAGTAATGTCCATGCGTAACTTTTTTAACTTACTATAAGACGTCTAGAAAATATGTAAATATTATTTTTGGAGAAATTTTTTGAAAAAAAAAATTGGTTGTCAAAGTTAAAAATAAAATTATTTATTTTTAAATTTATCATCGTGCAACAAACACTTTTTGTCCCAAACAATTTTGGGCTTGGACGCTCTTCAAATGCCTTTATCTCGGCCCAGGTTCGTCTAAGTCCAAAATTGTTCAGGAAAAAATTGTTTGTTTGGGTGCCCCCCCCCCGACACGACGCAAACGAAGAAAAAAGAAAAAAGAAACAAAAATGCTGTATTTTTATCTTGGTACCTACTTGGTACTTCAAATACCTAAATATCTTTGCTCATGTTCATCCAAGCCCAAAACTTTTTACGACAAAAAGTGTTAGTATATGCGCCCTCTACATGATGCAAACATAAAAAATAAAAAATTACAAAAAATTCTGCTAAGTTTTTTCGCTCCCATATTTTATATTTATTTATTTTATTTATTTAATATTCTTTATTGCACACCATACAAAGCATACAGAAATGACATACTACAAAAAAGTATGCAACTTCCACTATATCTCCACAGTAACTAAATGTTTATGCAATTAAAAGTGATGTAACATTACATGCAAAATATTTAAAAATAACTTCAAACAGAAAATACAAAAGCGTATCTATAATTTCTAGCATGCCCGACATGCCGCCGTTATGACGTCATCAACTGCCAAAACCCTGTCTGTGCCCCTGCCGACTGACGGTAAAGAAATAACCTTCACGTATTTAGACCCAAAATTAAAGTTTTCAAAGCTAAATACACGTTTACCATTGTCATCCATTGCAAATTAATTACATTAGTAGCTTAAATTCTCCAAAACATTACGGTTTTATTCACTTTTACCAATAAAAGTACGTTCATAGTTCGTTAGACGGCTATGTCGTTGGTTTGGCCTGGTTTTTACAATTAAATTAGCAAAATTATATGTTTCCCAGTAATAAAAATGTGAAAGTACTTACCTTTCCATGGTTTCTCCTTCAAATCACAACAAATTTGATTCAAGAAAACTTATCAAAGGCGTGACAAAACCGGAGTCGGTTGGTTTGACAGCGTCCAATTTGAAGTGCCGATATTTTTTTTTTACGGAGCAAAGAGTAACAGTAAAGCAGTTTGACACTGAGTATATATTATTAGTCTATGATTTCAAGTGTCGCACCTAAAAAACGCATCGTAGTTCCGTCGTAAAGAGCGCGAAAACATAAACAGGAAACGATGCCGACTGCTGGTCGGCTCACAGACGCGCAAATAATTTGACGTGCCGACTGCTGGTCGACGCACAGACAAGGGGATATTCAATAATATATTTATTTTAATAAATATTATGGCATAGGAGCAGACCACAATCGTTGCACAATAAATTCTCTTTGTTGCCGACCACTAGCTAAGAGCTGTTGTTCACACCAACCCCGACACCCTGCAGTGGTTGCTGAGGAATTTGATTATTCTGCTCTTCCAGTATGTCAGAGCTTGGCAATTGAGGTACAGGCAGTCGATGTCTGCTGCAGATGTTGTGCAAGACAGCACAGGCATTTATAATTTTAGCCACCATGTGATGGTTATAATGCAGTACCCTATGTGCCAGTTAACATCTCCAACGTGCTTTTAAGACTCCTATGCACCGTTCCACAGTGTTTCTTGTGAGACAGTGCATATTAGTGTAATGCTCATATGCACTACCAGGTTCAGCATTTACAATTGGAGTTAAAAGCCAAGGTCTTAATGGATATCCAGATTCACCTGTAAATTTATTTTAATAAATTATTGATTTAGAATATTTATAAAATGATAGTATTTTTGTATAATTAATATGGTATTTCTACAAACCAAGTAACCAGACAGCCTCTCCTCTATTATGAAGCTCTTGCAGTTGTTGTGATATTTGAGAGTTTTTCCAAATATGAGCATCATGTGTAGCACCACTAAAAGAAGCATCTATATTTATTATATTTAAATCACTATCACATATCTGAAAAGCTTTTATATATATATATTTAAGTAAGTTTAATGATTACCCAATTATAAATATTAAATCAGAATAATTTTACTTACTATTTGAACATTCCTGGAATGGTAATGCTTTCTATTAAAAAATTTTTCCTCATGTTCTGTGGGCCTGTTCATAGCTACATGAGTGCTATCAATACTCCCCAAGCAACCAGGAAAACCATATTTATTTGAAAATCTAAAACAAATTAAATGAAGAATGCAATTATTTTCCTTTCAGTATTCAATTCACTTTCGTAATGCTTAGTAATTCTTACCCATTTATAATACCCTGTCTTTCTTTTCGTTCCAGGGAAATGTATGTATTTTTTTAGCATATTATATTTGTTTAAAGCCATTGTCACTTCTTTAACAGCATTTGATACACTAGCTTGACAAAGCCCATGCGAATATCTCATGCCCACAAGCTTTTGATAAGAACCTGTAGCGTAGAATGAGAGTGCTGTAAGTACCTGTAAATCAATGAGAATATTATCAAATCTAATAATAACCATTATAACATTAAAAATTTTTGTTTATAGTCAGTGTGCCAACATAATATTCTTTTCGTACCTTGCATTCCACGTTAATTTTTGTTTTTCTTCTTGACGTGACCATGTATGTCTTTAACTCGGTGCACAAATCCTGAAAGAGCTCTTTTGAAAGTCTGTAGTGAGGTTTAAACTCAGAGTCAGAGAGTTCCAAAGCTTTAGCTTGATCTCTGAGACTTCGTCTCAATCGTGCTGTGGTACGGCTTTGATATCTTCTGTCCTCAACTTCTAGTGCTTCAATCAAAAGAACTGCACGAGCCATATTGAAATCAAAGAAATAACAATCTATACAAACACTAGACAAATACTTCTATAATACAAGCAAGCACTATTTTAATGATTTTAATACTAAGATGCTGTGATGTCAACAAACTTAGTAAAAATAAACACACTGTTAATAATACGCGTTATTATATTATTTGAATAATAAGACAAATGCGACGAGCAATCGATAAAAACTTCACCTATAATGTTATCGCAAAATGACAGTTATAAATGCTCGCTGGTTGCTATCGTCATGCTCATAAGAGGCGTACGTAATACCAAAACTGGCGCGAACTTCACTTGTTAGAGACTGTTGAATGCATATTTAGTTTACCGATTGTTCGACAGAGGCAGCGCTGTCGTTATTTAGCTGGGGGTTGGTTATCGCTGATACATAATACGAATTTGATATTTATCAGCAATTATTGTGCTAATTTCGCTATCGCTAGCCTTCTACAAGATACGTAATACGCCGGCCAAAACTTCACCGCTGCGTTGGAAGACGTTTTCAAGCTACTGGACTGGAAAGGATTTTTTTTTATAGAAGAAGGGGCAAACGAGCATGTGGCTCACCTGATGTTAAGTGACTACCGCCGCCCATGATCAACCGCAACACCAGGAGAATTGCGGGTGCGTTGCCGGCCCTTTAGAAAGGAGTAAGCTCTTTTCTTGAAGGTCCCCAGGTCGTATCGGTCCGGAAAAATAGCCGGTGGTAAACTATTCCACAGAGAGGTTGTACGTGGAAAAAAACTCCTTGTAAAACGTACAGTGGTGGACCGCCAAGCATCCGGATGGTGTGGATGGTATCGGGATTTTGACGTGTAGTGCGTTCACGAAATTTGGCGGCTGGGATTAATCCTAACAATTCCTCAGAGCACTCCCCGTGATAGATGCGATAAAATACGCAAAGAGATGCAACATCTCTTCGCAGCGCCAGTGAATCGAGCCGATCGGAAAGCACTCGGTCGTCGACGATTCGAGCCGCTCTGCGCTGGATGCGGTCAAGTGGAAGAAGCTGCTACTGGGGAGCCCCAGTCCAGAGATGGGAACAGTATTCCATGTGCGGCCGAACCTGCGCCTTGTAAAGTTGCAGGCGGTGTGCCGGCATGAAATACTGTCCCGCTCTGCTGAGCACGCCAAGCTTTTTAGAGGCCAATTTGGCCTTCCCTTCCAAGTGACCACGAAACTGCACGTCACTCGATATGTCGACGCCGAGGATTCCGATACTGGCTGAGGCAACAAGGGGGAGTGCCTTGAAACTGAGGGAATACGACAAAGGGGTTCTTTTTAGCGGTTAACGCGCAAACTTGTGTCTTCTGGGGATTAAACTGGACTAGATTTAGTCGCCCCCAATCCGAGACTCTGTCCAGCTGAGATTCGACTTCAGACACAAGTTTGTCCCGGCACTCGGAGACGTTTTCCCGAGAAATATTGGCTCGGCCGGTGTAAAGAGCATCACCAGTGCTGTCATCTGCATAGCAATGAATGTTACGGGTACGCAACATGTCATTGATATGCAGAAGAAACAGCGTTGGCGATAGCACACAGCCCTGTGGAACACCAGCCTTAATAGGCTTGCAATCGGAGCTTTTACCGTCTACAACGACCTTGATGCTCCGATCTGCAAGAAAGCTGGTGATCCAATCGCACAATTTCTCGGGAAGCCCATAGGAAGGGAGCTTCGAAAGAAGCGCTTTGTGCCAAACCCGATCGAAGGCCTTCGCAATGTCCAAACTAACGGCCAATGCCTCCCCCTTGAACTCTACTGCCTCCGCTCATCTGTGAGTTAGGTAGACCAGAAGATCACCAGCTGACCGACCACGGCGAAAACCGTATTGGCGGTCACTAATCAGCTGGTGATCTTCAAGGTACCTCATGAGCTGGCAGTTTACAATGGACTCCATTGTTTTGGAGAACAAGGAGGTGATGGCGATTGGCCGGTAGTTGGACGGGTCAGAGCGGTCGCCTTTTTTAGGGATCGGGTGGACGTAAGCCGTCTTCCATGATTTTGGGACTACGCCTAGGGAGTAGGAGTACCGGAAAAGACGCGTTAAAACCGGTGCCAACTCTGGAGCACACATCCGATAGGATACGGTATTAACATCAATGGCGAGTACATCACTCATCTTCGATTTGCCGACGATATATTCCTTATGGCAGAATCGCTGGAGGACCTTAGCACTATGCTCAATGACCTCAATGGTGTCTCCCAACGGATAGGTCTTAAGATGAACATGGACAAAACAAAGATCATGTTAAATGTCCATGTCACACCTATGCCGGTAGTTGTTGGGAGCACTATGCTCGAAGTTGTTGACGAGTACGTTTACCTGGGACAAATAGTCCGACTAGGTAAGTTCAACTTCGACCGAGAGGTCAATCGACGGATTCAACTCGGCTGGGCAGCGTTCGGGAAATTACGACACATCTTCTCGTCAGCTATACCTCAATCTCTGAAAACTAAAGTGTATAACCAGTGCGTGTTGCCAGTGATGACTTACGGATCTGAGACGTGGTCCTTCACTGCTGGCCGAATGAGGACGCTCAAGGTCGCTCAGCGAGCTATGGAGAGGGCTATGCTCGGAGTTTCTCTGCGTGATAGACTCAGAAATGAGGATATCCGCAGTAAAACCAGAGTGACCGACATAGCCCAACGGATTAGTAAGCTGAAGTGGCAATGGACCGGCCATATATCTCGAAGAACCGATAACCGATGGGGAAGAAAGGTTCTCGAGTGGCAGCCTCGTACCGGTAGGCGTAGTGTAAGGCGACCCCCCACTAGATGGAGTGACGACCTGGTGTAATAGTGGAGAAGAACGGTCCACTATTAACAGACTCCGAGTGGTTTTAAGGTGGTTTTAAGGTAGCAGTAAGGGGATCTTGATGTTGAGCTTATTCGACTTCTACTTGCAGAGCGGTTGCGACGAAAAGATGATCTTCGGTGTTGCTGATTGCGCTATTTGTACTGTTGCTGGTAAAAGGTGTGATGCTGGGAAGCTTTGAGCGCAGCGACTTCGTATGATAGCTTCCGAATTTCTTCGACAATTGATGTATATGTGTTCGCCTCTTGCTCCATAATGACGGCTTGATTACACTGATTTTATATATACTAAAGTCTTCCTTCTCGGTGTTCGTACTACTACACTGTAATGGTGGTACGTCGCAGGGTGTTTCTTCTTGGTGCTCGTACCGGGATCTTCCTCCTCGGTGTTCGCCACGCGCTTCCTACGCGGTGTTCGTACGGGGCACCACTGTAATAGTGGAGAAGAACGGTCCACTATTAACCGAGTGGTTTTAAGGTGGAGAAATGAAACTACTGTTTATGTAAAGCCGATTGGAGTATGAATATGGAATGGAATGTATTTTCGTTAACCTTGCCTATATTTATATGGCTAGCTGCGGTGTTGGTTTACCAATGGTAACAATTTTTATTTTCCCTAGCCAATTATAATTCTTACATTATGACCAATGAAAATTAATCAAAACATACAACTATTATGTACGTTTCGTTTCCCGGCGTGAGACTCGTGTTACGTTCACGAAGCTACGTCGCTGGACCGGGCTATAAAAGTCATGCAGATCGGTGCGCGCGCGTAGTCGGTGAGCGGCGGCGGCGTGGAACACAGCTCCGGAACAGCAAGAAGAAGCGAGCTGCGGCGTTGAAGAAACGGCTCAAAATTGGACGACGGCTACGTGACGATAACGGTGTGTGAAGACAATGTGGCGCTGAATGATATTTGCGGCTGCTTCTTGTTTCTTTATAAGAACGTCAAATTATCTATATGCAGTCCGCAGTATCTCAGTAGCCGGGGATAGTTAGGAAATAAATGTTTTTTATCTTCGCCTTCCGCGTTATGGTAGCAGCAGAGTATATATTATTTATTCCCGTTTAGGGTTGAATAGTCTGGCTGCTACACTGGTAAGACATGCAGGAAGTCGATAGATGCAGGTGGCTCAGGACCGTGCTTTGTGGCATTACTTGGGGGAGGCCTATGTTCAGCAGCGGACTTGTGAAGGGCTGTAATGATGATGATGATGAGGTGCTGATAACTGTTTTGCCGTATTCGGTGTTCGATTACCCGACTCCCGTAATGTTCATTACGAACATTGTAAATGCCCGACCTTGTAAACATTGTTTCGTCTGTAAATGCAATGGAAACGGTATCAAAATTTTGAAGTAGCCATTGCCAAAATACCATCCGCGGTATGTGGTCGTTTTCATTTAATTCTTGAACCGGCTGAAAATGATATGGATTTTGACGATCAATGTGTAGAATTTTCCAAATTGTCCAGTGAGAAACATCGAAAATACAGGCCGTCCGCCTGGTACTCTCCTCTGGGTTCTCCGCGAAGAAATCCAGGATACGTTCTTGAAGGGTAACTGGCAGCTGCTGGTTGCCACGCCCCTGAGCATGCGCCGGCACGGTAAATTTTCCGTGGCTATGTAACCTTTGCGTGGCCGCCAACAAAGTTTCACGATTTGGCACAGGTTGTCCAGGGAATAATTCTGTGTACATTCGTCGAGCCTCGTTCAGGTTATCACCAGCTGCGGCATAAAGTCGTACCATTTCGGTCCACTGAACGACAAAATTACAAACTAAAATACACGCACACAAACTACAATGAACGACCTAAAACACACAAATTAGCGGCGGGACGCCGGCCCGGTGCGTGGCGCGGCGGTCGTTGCGAATCAAATGTACACGTGCATCCGCTACCGAGACTGCGAACAGACTGGCCCCATGGCCTCAACCACCGAGCCGCGCGCGACACCGCCGCGTGCCGCGGCCGCTGCTGTGTTCTTTACTGAAATTTACGCGCCTAGGGTGAAATAATTTTAAGGAAAAATTGAGATTTTGCTAAAAAACAAATATTATTTCACATTGAATTTACGTTCTATAAGTGAAACCAAACCACTGGTTTCAAGGATAACAGTGTTTACATTAACACCCGGTACATCACAAAAAATACTTTCCGCTCGTATGCTAATATACATCC